GATAGGTGTGTGTGTGTGTGTGTGTGTGTGTGTGTGTGTGTGTGTGTGTGTGTGTGTGTGTGTGTGTGTGTGTGTGTGTGTGTGTGTTTTTACAGCTCATGTTATCTGTGATGACTTTTATGGCCCAACCAACCTTTGCTCTTCTGTTTTCTCTCCTTGCTTTCCTTTTTTCCTGGAGTGTCTTTCACAAATTTACAAGCTGTGGGTCTGTGTTTGCCGTCTGCCTCTCTCTGACACACACACACACACACACACACACACACACACACACACACACACACACACACACACACACACACACACAGGCGCCTCCTTGTCATCTGTCATCTGCAGGATGGAATCAGATTTTCCAGTATTTGTTATAATATGAACTGATTTCACCATGAAAATAAAGTGATCATATCCCAAGTAAAGTTAATTATACGACCATCAAGCACTTTATAAGGAACACCTGCGCACCTGCTTATTCATGCAATTCAGGCAGCTGGATCCACATGTGAATAGTTAGAGCTACTTACCACGCTAATGAGCATTATGCTAACGAGCAGTTCAGAGTAATCTGTAATACCTTTTTACACCTGCTACAGCTTTGGAGTCACCTGCGCTGAACAATCACAGCTAGACCAGCTGTGTCTGTCGGCTTCCTGTGTTTGTTTCAAGTAAAGTTACAGGTAAATGAGACTCATCCCAGACCCGCCTCCATCGTGAAGGTGAAAATCGATGCAGATGTTCTTATAAAAAGTCCTGTAACAACAATCACGTCAAAGTGTCAGTGCTGTGACCGAGGACACTGAGACGGAGAGAAAATGTGCTCTCCTCGTTACGACTGATCGTGTCATGAACTAACAGGCCTGGCAAAAAAACATGTCTGAAAGAATGAACCACTTCTTCCTAATCTCTCTAAAAATATTAAATCAACTAGATAATTTAACATCTTCTAATGTGTGTGTGTTGGTGACAGTTACTGTACGAACGGTAATAAACTGTTTAAGAGGAAGCTGATTCCTTGGAGAGGTGTGTTATGGGGCCATCACTGTGCTGTCAAAGGTCAGTGCAGCTTATTTTATCCAGTTAGCTGAAGCACAGAAACGTTATTAGTGGGATTTTCCTTTTAAAATCCTTTGTCACTGTAAAATCTGTGTATGTCACCAACAAGCTCCCGACCAGCTGTAATCCCTTCTCCGTGTGTTCGCCTGTGTTGCAATGCTGTAATTCATGCAAACCTCAGGGCGACATTGGTGAGAAGGTTATATGGCCTGCCTCTGTGTCTTTAAAGGTTGTATATTAACAACTTGGATGTGGCAGGTGAGCGGCCACATAAAGGAACAGAGGAAGTGTGAATCTGAGAAGCGAACGACCCAGAGGAGAAAAACAGACAAGGACTTGGGTGCTGGGGTTTTTGTTTGAGTGAAGTGAAGCGAGGGGACGTGGTATAGAGCGGACAACACTTCATTTCTGGAGTTTTGCTACGGAAATTTAGAGGAACTTTTTGGAGTTTTTCGGTGACTTTATTGCACATTGGACGCACTGGGCTGTGGATCAGGAGAAGAGGCTGAGACAACTTTACCATTTTGAGCTCAAAAACATGAATACAGGGCCGAAAATGGCCCCGGCTGGTTGGTGGTTGTGTTTGTGCGCCTTGGGGATTCTTGCTGCTCCGTGTCGAGGGATCGGACGTTGTTTGAATGGGATTACAATGAACGTGATCCTGCTGGATGATGAGGAGTCTCCCTGGAGCCTGAAGTTTGTAAGAGGAGAAATACTGGAGGCCATAGAGATAGATTCAGCCATCAATGCTGCAGAAGGTGATGAAATTAAAAAATACAGCATAACAACATCTGCATGTGAACACAGAATTATGGCGTATTATGGACTTGTATTACAACACGCATTATCTGCATGTCTGTGTGTATACGTCTACATTAATGTGTGTATTGCTGTGTGTGTTTTTCTAAACGCTTGACACCACTTGTCCTAAAGAGTTTAAGGTTGTCATATATGTAACTAATCTCCCATTATTTGCCAAGGTTACAGTTTTTAAAGCTATTTTTTTGGGGGGGATTTTTTACTCTTACAGTTTTAATTTCTCGCCCTCTGGTTTATCCCGTGTTTCTACTGTTAACGCCCACTGCACTAAACTGTATTGTGGACGTGTTGTGACATCTCTCAGATTACAGGGGAAGTGAAGCAGGGACTCATAACTGATAAGATATTATTAAGTGAGGGTAATAAATTATTATAAATGGGTCATTATACTATGTCCTGTGCAATGCTTACTTAATGTTTTGCACTAGCTTAGCTTGATCTTTGGTTGGCAAGATAAGAAAAACACTAATTAAGCTTTGACGCACTTAAGCACTGCTGGGTGAGACCAGGGGCAAAAACTAGTTCTGTTGCCCCTGTTGTTTGTCATAACTTTGTTAAACACATATTTGTTTAGGAATATGGACCGTGTACAGTTTGAGATAGGTCCCCACCCTTAAAATGTGATCAGATATTGTTCATTATCCCAAACACATTGATAATGAAGCCTTTTCGTTGCCGCCGAACACCTGGGGCAGCTGCTTTGCCCAGTTTGTTACTGACACGTTTGTTCTCGTATTTTAGACTTTGGAGTGGACAGAAAAAAGCTATCTACCATACGAACTCTTTAGATATGAATAATCTGTCTGACTGGATGATTACCGTTCTGTTCTTTTGAGAAAGGTAAAAATGTGTCACAATATCGCTGTGCATTGTTAGCAGCGTAAGCACTGTGGTGCTACAGAGACGCCCTCGCTTACATATCATATTGTCCAGACTTAAAGCAACATGTTTGTTTGGCATAAGACCCAACAAAAATCATCATTTAAACATTTTTTTCCAGTGAAAATGAAATGCAAAACAACGAACAACTGAAATTGCATTACCTGTCCCAATAATCGCAATATGATTTTTTTTTTTGCATATCATGCAGCACTAGTTCTGGAGAACAATTTAGCGTCCACTTCATGGACTTCAAAAAAGAAAAGAAAGAAATGTTTGACTGCCTTTCTTTGTTTCCACAAACCACAACAAAGGTATGAAGTTTAATCTTACGCCAAACTTTGGCGGGTTCAACACCACCTTGTATCGACATCGAGGCTGCCAGAGTAGCACGTGTGAGGGAGTGGATGAGCTAAAAAACCTAATGGTGAGTAGCTACACTTTTACTCTTTTAGGCTCATTATACTTTCTTTTTACCTTATATGTATAAACCTGCCCGTGTGCTTGGTGTGTACCTTGAGGATTAAAAGCTATATCCACCAGGGGGCAGATCAGTGCTGCATCACCCCTGGACGATTTTGCACAACGTAAAGGACAGAGTAGGAAGACAGTCCTGGGGGCTACTATAGTTAGAGTAGTTTAAATCAAGTGCATCAGCGCTCCTAACCTCACAAATGTGAAGCAATCAGTCATACCGACAGACGGACAAAAACTCACTCTCAGTTGTTTTGTCTTGCAGTATTCAGGCAACCTGGGATGTGCCGTGCTCGGGCCTACCTGCACCTACGCTAGCTTCCAGATGGTTGAGTAAGCACTGGTGTTTTTAGGGTTACAAAACAGGGTTTAACGTGCATAAATGTCGCTTAAATGTTTACATTTTTTTCATGGACATGTCAGCAGCTGCATGACTCTGTGACCCCCACATCACCCTTTTTCCCTCCATGCAGATATCACTCTCTGTCTCTCTCTCTCATCCATTTCCATCTTTCTTTCTCTCTCTCTCTCTCTTTCTCTCAGTGTGGAAAAAGGTCTGAAGCTCAAAACACCCATCATCTCTGCAGGAAGCTTCGGTCTGTCCTGCGACTACACACTCAACCTGCAGCGCCTCCTGCCGCCGGCACGCAAGATCTCTGACTTCTTCATTCTCTTCTGGAAAGAGAGCAACAGGATCAAACCCGCGTGGGAAACAGCCTATGTTTACAAGAAACAGAGCAACAGCGAGGACTGCTTCTGGTGAGTCACCGAGGTGTCTTGAAAGAATAACCCACTTTTGTGAGTCTGCATCACTTTATTATACAATCAAGCGACTCTGGTCCCAGTCCACAAAGTTTTGCATGACTGTCTGTTACTCCAGTTGCTGAGTAAATCTGCTTTGTCATTGGGAATTATAAGTGATTTTCTCCTACAGGTATATAAATGCACTGGATGCAGACTCGAGCAAGTTTGCCCAAAACATCAGTAGAACGGTGCTGCGCAAACCGGACGAACTGAGAAAAATACTGACGTCACCCAAAAACAGGACAAGCAACTGTAAGTGTTTTTTTATTTTTTTATGTACACCTTATCTGATATGACAAGAAGTCACTACAAGTTTTTATAGGCTGTCAAGAGATTAACTCAGTTGCTCAGTTATAAGTCAGAATTAAGTTCATCTTCTACCTAAATGAACATAGCAGCAGTATTTAAATGTTATATACACAAGAGTGTATACTTTTTTACATTTCTAAGTTTGACTTCCAGAGGTTGATAAATGGACAAAGACCAGATTATGTCTGAGTGACCAATGGCAAAGCCTTCATTCTTGTGTCGTGTTGATGCAGCCATAAAAGAGGACATTTTGGTTTTGGTATTAACTGGTTTCAAGGTTGAAGTGGAAATTTAGATGAAAATCAGAGCAAGAGAATTAAAGAGGGGGATTTACCTTCCACCAAGGGCACCTTTGTTATAAATGCAGCTGAATTGTGGTTTTGCATTTTCTGTTCGCAGTGTTCATCATGTGTGGATCACCACTGGACATATTGGAGGTGAAAAATGGCTCCACAGATGCAGACAGCAGTGATAATCTGTTCATCCTTATTGATCTTTACAAGTCAGTGCTCTTTATTCATTTAATCTCTTTTCTGTAATTTCCAGTTGTTCATTTCCAGTAGTTTAATATCTCTTGTTGTCTTTTTTCTGGTACTTTCTGTATGTGTCTGTTCTGTAGACATGTTTGTATTTATAGTACTGCGTAGATTCACAAATGGTTCTCTGTATTCCCACATTCTTCTGTTTGTCCCACATTCTTCTGATCCCAACCAGTGGAACTTGCATCTAAAGGGTCTTATTTTGCAGTGGGCAGTGGGTGTGTGGATAAATTGTGGACTAACATTTTAAAAAAAAGGAAAGTTAGATTAAAAAAAGATAAGCAGCTGTGATTGAGTCAACTACTGTATATTGCTATATATTATATTACTGTTTTTATGCCTTACTATACTATGACTTTTTTCACTTTTTATGCCTTACTATACTATGACTTTTTTTTTTACTTTTTATGTACTATAATATGATGATGACTTTTTTATGCCTTACTATACTATGACTTTTTTTTTATGCCTTACTATACTATGACTTTTTTTTCACTTTTTATGCCTTACTATACTATATAATTTTTT